ATTAAAATTATCGTGAATGTGGTTACCTTGATGGCTTCAATGGTACATTCAACTTCAAACAATCAGCTCGTCGAAGAGAAATTGTTAACTCCTCGATCAAACTCAGTTCTTAAAAAAATGGATAAATTCATATAAAAAAAAATTAAAAAATTAAAGAGAACATTAAAACCTTCTATAACCCCTAGGTTTCAAGTTTGAAATGCGATTCTTTTTTTACCTTGTGAGGAACATTTTTGATTCGATTGTTAGAGCTCAAAAAATTGTTGTAGATGAGTTTAAACACATGGTAGTGTAGGTGGTGACTTGAGGTCTCGAGTGTGACGAGCGGTTAAGCTAGTTAGGATTGAAATTTGAAAAAAAAGGTCGACTTGTTTAGTTGTTTTGTGGTTTGTTCTCTTGTAATTTTTGTGAAAGAGTTAAGGGAACGGAAGAAGAGAAGAAGCCGCCTGCCGTTGCCCGATCGTCGATCTGATTGGAGCGTCAGAGGCGGAGCAATCGATCATAGGAGGGAAAAGGAAATAAAAAACATATTTTCCTTTTCCTCCATTTAATATTAAAAGAAAAAAGGGCCAACTTGTGGCCTTCTTTGGTTTTGGGCCTGAGGCGCAGTCTTCATTGGCTTCACCACAGAGCCGGCCCTGTGCGAATGGAATGTTATCATTGAAAAAAGAAGAGAGAATATATACTCAACATTAATTTGAAAAAAGAAATTGGCTTTTGATAATTGCACCAATTTCCAACTCTTGTGGTTTGTTTATAAGTGGGAAAATGTATTTCCAACAGATGCATGTGTTGTACAGACCAACAAATTAGTTATAAAAAGTGAGTGGTGCGACTCGTAAATTGAATTTTTCGTCAAAGTTAGATGGTCCAATCATGGTTGGGTGGATCACACTACATACGGGCTGTAATTCATTTAAGCATAAAAGAATAACTTCTATCATGTGAATTGACAGTCGTAAGTATGTAAGTGAATGGACTTTCATTAGATATTGTCATTCCTAGTCATTTATATGTTAACTATAGCTTAGATAATGTTATTTATTCGATAGATAGATATAATTAACGATTTGATCAAACTTAAAAAGGAAGATGGATTTTATGTTGTTGAGTTTGGCCCAGAATTCAAGGATAGGATTGTTTGCATGATATTCTCGACTAAGTTTTAGATGCACTCATTGATTTGTGGGGGTAGCATTGTTTTTTTCAAATGAGAATATTGAGATATTTATGAATATTTGAAATAACAAATAGCATTGTAGTGAATGCTTTGTTGTACTTAATATATGCATAATGTTGAAAATTAGTCATCCAATGCAAGGATTCAAAATCTACTCTTAAATATATTTTACTATTGAGAATGAAGTTACTTTGTGAAAATCCTCAATACAACTTGAGAATTGAAGAAAATTAGAGCTTTATATAAAGCTAGAAAGAAGCATGATGACTTCAAAATTTTTTTTGAAAGACTTTTTAATTGGTGACAATTTGTGCCTATTATATTATAAGATCGAGATATCTAGCTATAAATGAAATGGCACAGAATTTCGTATATAATGATAAATCTCGATAAATACGTAGTAGATAAAATATTGGCAGTTACTCTCAAATGGGTTAATATCGATTGATTTTGTTAAACTGAAGAATGAATTATTGGACCCATTTATAAGGAGTCGTTTGAGTAAACTATACATCAAGGAAATTGGAGTACAGCCTAAACTAATGGATCAATTTAATGAAACCTAACCCGACGACTAGAGATCCCACAGTCTAGATTCAATAGATAAACTAGTTATGATTGACCGGATGAAAAGCACTTCATAGTCTTAATTCCTCTCTATTTTTCTAATGCAAATAAGTGTTGCTTACCAAAGATTGGTTAGGATAAACAATGCTTTTAATAATGACCATATCTTGTAAACATTACAAGTAGAGTATTGTAGGGTACTCCTTACAAAACATCCCATATGTGAGTGTACACTTGGTCTGTTCTATGAGAATTTTACTTAGGCTACTCTAGCTCACTTGCAAAACCAAAAAGGTTTAGGGCTAAAATAATGAACACAATAAAAAACCAAAGTTTGATGTGAAAGACAATGTGTTCGATCTATTGTCTAAGCTTGTAGTAATGGTAAAAAGTTCAAAACATTGTGTTAATTGATTAGCCAAATGAGTCTTATAGATTCTTACAAAGGAATGTTCAAAGCAAGAGGTATCGATCTTGTTGTATTATATTTCAGTTGTACTCTTTTTCATCTTCCTTATTTTGAGCTAACTTCTTCCATTCATATGGGGGACTGCTGAAATTTAAGGGTATATATATAGAAAGATTAAAATGTGTAAATTGGAAAAGTCTCCAACTGATGTAACGATTGGGTGTGACTCTTCAAGTGTATAATATGCATAATGAAAAGCCATGAGATTTTATTAAGGTGCAACCTAGACCATCAATTATAAAATGGTGCAATCTAATGGTTAAAAATTAATTTTGGCAAAAAGATGTAACAACTAGGAAGTGACACATGAAAATCTATAAAGGGAGACATCTAGTTCCATTTTTTCCTACTCCAAATCAATTCCACATAATTGATTTTTATTCTTTCATTCTTTTAATTTTGTCAAAATAATTTTCAATTTATTTTGAGTTTCGTGTTTAATATCTTCATTTCTAGAAGAGTACTGTTAAGCGTTGGTTCGTCCGAAAAAATTAATATTTTGCTATATTAATTTTGAAAAAAGGTTTGTATCTTGCAAGATGGATGTCCATTTGATCCTATTAACATCAGTGCACGAGGCAAAACCCGTCTTAAGAAGATTTCCATTCGCATACATTACTTCATTTTATCTCATTCGAATTTTGACATTTTCAACGTTTGAGTTAGTTGTGATTTGTTCGTTATTATGCATACACCATGGTTTCGATAAGTCGTTACTCTATTTATATTTGCATGTACGTATATTTTATTAGTGGAATATAATCCATGCGTGAATTTATCCAATTGCAACCGCTCTCCTTATGTTTTAGAAGAATTTATTTTTAGATGGTAAGTAAATAACAAACATTGTATATGAGTTGTTTGAATTCAATTTTATATTTTTATCTATAATTTTAGTTACTATATACTCTTCGTGTGGCCAGCCACTTAATATTTTCTTTCCTAAAACGGTAAAAACATTATCAATTAAACTCTTTGGACAGGGTTAAAGACAGCAAGTAAGAAAACAGGCTGATTTGGATGTTTTTGATTGGACGTGTTTTTGAAAAAAATTCAAGCTATCCAATTGCTTGTCAACACGTGGCATCCCTGTTTTTTACCATGGATCTATAGCATCTTTCAAACATTATTTGGCTTGAGATTCAATTTGGGAAGAATCTATAAAAAGTTTAATTTATACGGAACCATTCCTCTTACTCATAAATTTGACACATTTGTTTGACAAATAATGGTGACATTTAATTTAAGTTAATCCAACACCTAATATTTTCTGGATCTCAAGTAGTTATAATAAACTCTCCATCACTTTAGTGAAATATATATTGAGCGTTGGATTGACTTATATTAAAGGTCACGCTTATTTGTCAAATAAGCTTGTCAAATTTATGAGTAGAAGAAATGGTCTCGTAAATTATAAATAAATAGAAATAAGTGAGGATAAATGAATAGTACTCGTGGGTCTATTGAAATTTGTGATAATTTAGTCAAATGGAGTCATTATAACAATTAAATTTAAATGTATAATAAAATTTTTAGATAGTAAACAAAATTAACTCATAATACTCACATAAGTGGATAGAAATAAGTGATGATAAATGAATAGTATTTGTGGATCCATTCAAATTTGTGAATGATAAATAAAGTTTGACCAATTATAAATTTGTCAAATGGAGTCAATATAACAATTAGATTTATGATAAAATTTTTAGAAATTAACTTATAATTCTCATCGGTCAAACATGAGTTGGTGATTGCTTTAATATCTACTCACCAAAAAGGTTAAAAATGTTGAAGCATTAATTAATTTGCAGATGACCCTTTTTATAAAGATAAAATGTAAGATAATATTTAGAATTATGACGAATCACATTAGTTGTGAGTACTTAATGATTACTTATCTAGAATGGTGAGCATCAACTATTCGTAAACAATTTTGTATAACAAACTTAAATGGGCTCGTAAATAATCAATTTAAACGTGTAATTTTGTATAGACAATTATTTTACTTAAACTAAAAGGCAAACTATTTTGCGTATACCCGTCATTCTAATGTAACTCAAGTTTGCTAGTCAAATTACTTAATAAGCTTGAACACGCGTCCATCGTTTGAGTTGCGAGAAGAGAATCAGTAGGTCCACACTTAAAGAGATTAAGCGTTATGTTGGAGAAATAAATACAAGAATCGTGAACATACTTTTTGATCTAATATGTGTATCGAAACGCTTCTTTATTTCTAAATTAAACAAAATCCAAATTATATCATCATTAATGGACGTACTCTATATATATATATATATCAACACGAGCAGAAAAAATAGCTCTATAATTTAATTATGAGTTACAAATCATTGACTACCAAAGAAATGTCCCTTTTTTTTTTAAATAAAAAGAATTAAAAATTTTGATTTTGATTTTGATTTTTTTTTTTTTAAAATTTCGTCACCTTACTGAGCCCACTAAAATAAATTCATTTACTCTACAAGCAAGGCAATTATAGAGAAATGGCTGGCAGTTTAATGCTCCATAATTATACTCAGTTCATTTCATTTCTATATAAACCCTACTGCTGTTCATAAAAATTCCACACCAAAGACTTCAGTTTACCACTCAAACTCCTTCCCTACCCACCAACTAGAAGCCCTCTTTTCTTTCGGAAGTTCTCCATCAATGGCATTGGCAAAAGGAGATCGTATAATGGAAGTAAGGGAGGAGGAAATGAGCTCTACTTGGAGTGGCTTTTCCCATCCCAGAATCGGATATTTTCTCAGACCTTCCGTCAAGTCCATGGACGGTCCGGTTTTTGATCCTCCGGTGGATTCTGTAAATCCCAATGCCATCAACTCGGTGGATAATTCTGTACCGAGTTTCGCCAACTCAGTTTCACCACCTCAGTTTCCTTTCAAGCCAACTTTTCTTTGTTGGAAATGCCCACAATCAGACTGGATAACTTGGGTAGCCCGCATGCGCTCTCTACACCTACCCACCTGGAAACAAGCCGGGATAGATAACGCTATCACCCACTCGACCTTCCAGTTTCACCGAAGTGATGGTCTGATTTTAGGAGTTGCAGAGAAGTGGTGTTCCGGGACCAATACATTCGTGTTTCCATGGGGAGAAGCTACAATCACCTTAGAAGACATAATGTTTTTGGGGTCCTTTTCTGTTTTGGGCGAGTCAGTTTTGAGCCCTGCTGGAGACAGCGAATTAGAAGTGATTACAGACAAACTACTCAAGGCACGATTAGAATTTTCCCGGACTAGAGCAAGGAAAGCCAGCAAGACTGCCTGGATGGATAAATTCATGGAACCTGAAAGTGAAAGTGAAAGAGAGATCGAGCACGAAGCATTTCTTGCTTACTGGGTGTCACAGTTTGTTTTTCCATACGAACGCGACACTATAAGCAAAGCTTCTCTACCCATTGCGGTCAGTTTAGCCAAAGGTACGAAACTTGCACTTGCACCGGCTGTTCTTGCTGATATTTATAGAAATTTGAGTGCACTGAAAGGTGCCCTTGTTACTAATTCAGAAATATGTAAAATTAGACAAGAAAAAAGCAAAGTGGTTGAAGTTAAGGTTACAGCACCATTCCAACTGGTGCAGGGTTGGGTTTGGGAGAGATTCCCATCTTTACGTCCCAAGCCCAATTCAATTGGGTTTGGTGAGCCAAGATTGTCTCGATGGCATGGCAAAAAGGAAGTGGGAACGGAAAATGTGTTATTGGCACTAGATGGTGCTAAAGAAGATTTTATTTGGCGCCCTTACATGAGGGCTGCAAACGACTTCCTACCACAAATGGTTTACAAGGAAAATTATTATTGGGAATTACTTAAATCCGGTTCAAGTGATGAATTTGAGGGGCTAGTGCGATGTTTGAGACCTAGCGAACTTGTTAGCCTGGAAGTTGGTTGCATTGAGCAATATCTCCCACACCGTGTGGCCATGCAATTTGGCATGGATCAAGATCTTCCAGGTCATGTAATGCGAGAGAATGGAAGTTCTGAAATTGCTTGGAGAAATTATACCAGGGCCATTGAGGATGTCATACTGTATATACCAGCACGACTTTTTGAGTCAGATGTCACCACCCGATACTTGACATGGTGGAGTACATTAGGAATTTCTGAAAGTAGTAGGCGTCAAATTGGTTCAGATGGAACATAATCCAAGGATGAAGACCTTCCCCCTTCTTGTCGTTCTACTCCTTTCCTCCCAAGCGCTCTAAACTAATAAAATGTGAAACCTGCAATGAAAATTATCTAGCTCAAGGTGAATTTGCAGACGATTTATATTTCCATTTATTGTGAAATTTTTCTTTAGATCTGTTGATTAGGTAGCTTAGGTAGATCTTGTTGATCATGTTGCTTGTGGTGATTTGAGCAGGTTTGGTGACTCGACTGGAGCTGGAATTGATGATTCAAGCAAGGTTAACACATAAGGTAGTTTTGCTGGTAAGCAGAACTTGAATTTAGTTCATAGTTTCTGAGTATGTCTGGCAGGGGTATGGTGAGGCTGGAAGGGACATGGTGGAAGAGTTGGAGAATGACTTGAAGAGTAAATACTTAATTCTCTTCAAAATTTGTGTCAAGGTAGAGTTTGTTAGGTTGTGACTCAAATTCCATGTGTTCTAGTATTGTAGTTCATTGATGAAACTTATATTATATTGGTTTAAGAATTCAGATAGATAATGGATCAAAATTTATCATGGATTGAGAGTTTGATTGGGATAAGAACTTTGGGATTAAGGTTTCTATTTCATCCATAATTCCAAGATTTGGCTCCTATAAATATTCCAAAAGGTGTAGGCTTTATATAGATTCAAGATAACAATTAGATCATTGTTGTACATATTATAAACTTGAGAGAATTATATCCTGTAAAGATAATTTTAATTTCCTGGTATAATAAATTCTCTTCTTCCACAAAAATCTTGTTTGTTATTTTATTTATTATTTTTATGTTGTCCATATTTTCTTATTCTTTAATTATTTGGCCGGATTCTAAACATGCATCATTAATTTTCAGCCTTTAGTAGCCATCTCAAGCCTTTTTTTTTTGAGCGCCAATGGTGCGAGATGTGAACTTTAATTTTTTTTTTTTACCCCTTTTTATTGGAAAAGAGGAGGAAGAGAATTACAAAATGCTCAAAATTTGGTCATTTATTAGCTGTCCAGTATTGTAAGCGGGTTAGCAAGGGGTTTGTTAGACAGACATTATCGAATAACGCCTTTTGATTAGAGATATGAACAAGAAGCTTCTAAAAAGCAAATTTATTCTACCCGATAAGTACCAATATGCAATGGGTGGTTGATACCATTTTCTATTAGTAAATGTGTCCTCCATTTTAGACATGTTTTCGGAAACCTAAGGGTGTGTTTTTATTTTTTGTTTTTAATTTTGAATTTATTTTCAGTTTTCTATTTTGAGAGATTATTTTAAAATTGTAGAAAACGCGTTTGGCTCGTCATTCGAAAAAATTGTTTCTCAAAACAAAAAAATCAGAAAATGCGGTTAGTTTAAAAACTTTAGAAATAATTTTATGACATTTTTTTCAATGAATTATATTATTTAGTAAGACATATCAATTTTATACTAATATGTGATCAAAAATATAAATTTTAAAGTTGGTAAAAAAAAAGAAAAAAGGAATCATTGTAAGTATATCTTCAACAATCGTATCGAAATCATCCGTAGATAATAAATTGTGTCAGAGAGAAAGATTGAGAGATGAATATTTGTATTTGGGTTGGATTTGTGTGATTTTATTAATTATTTTAATTTAAAAATATTTTAAGTTCATTTTCCTTGTTTTGAATTTTTTGAGTGTTATCAATGAAACACTAAAAACGTCAAAAAGATATTTTAAGTTTTATGTTAAAATTTTTTCCTTATTTTCGAAAACGCAATTTTAAAAATAACATTCTAAACACGTTTTGAGTGTTTTAAAAAACTGAAAACTGAAAATGACCACAAAATGGCAAACCAAATGTACCATGAAATTCTCTGAAAACTCCAGGAAACATTTCGGAAACTCTTACAAGCTTCTTCTTTTTTTATTTATTTATATTTTTTAACTTTACGGAAACTTTTGACCAAAATATTCGAAAAACCGAAGTATTGCACATTATTATGGACATTTTGTGAGCTTAAACTAAAACTAACTCTATGCTGGGGTTCAATTAAAATTATTATAATTCACTCTTTAGTTCGCGCACTACAAAAATATTAACAAGTGATTAGAGTTTTAATTAATATTAAATATCATTTATGAAACTAAATATAATTACATTTATAAAATAAATTATAATTTTTATATAATGCTTTTACAACCTTTCAATTCTTATTTTTATTATTTTTTGAGAAATAGCGTTACCATGTGTCCTATCTCATTTCATTTTGAATAATGCTATGCAGGCTTACTGGGGTTACAACCTCAGTTTAGGTGGTGCTAAATGATAGGATGAATTAAAGGTGAAATTATATGACTTATTTAATTCCACCGATTATTTAATGCTGTATTAACACCATTTAGACTGGATTGGTAACTTTAGTGGGGCGAAGTAGCATTACTCTTTCATTTTTCATTGCCCGTATCCGATTCCGTGCAACCTAATTGAACCATGCATTAGTTAACGCATAATGGTAATTAGTATAGACAGCATAATACTATTTTTGGACATGCTTCTTACCCTTTGTCCATGGACAGTTGTTAATAGGATCATGACCATGTACTAAATTTAGAAAATTTGACAGCATCAATTCTATCCTAACACTTGTTTTGAAGTGAGAGAAATTACCCTGGGGATTTCTTCTGAGTTTCTTGATAGACCAGAAAATGACTCTCTCTCTTTAGGGTGAAGGTAAAATTTCCCTTGTTATGAGATTCTGAGTCAGGATTCAATTCAAAATTATGATTCTCTCATTTTTCTGAAAAGAAGATAAACATTCATACTCATTTTTGAGATTTATGTTTTTGTTGTCTCGAATGGTTGAGGTGTGATAGAATAAGAACTTAAACGACGATGAGCTGTTTTTCATGTTGCATGCCACAAGAGAAAATCGAGAAAAAGCTCTCGAAGAAGAGCATTCAAGATTACAAGGACAACAAATCCTTGGCCTCCTTTGCTAATATCTCCTACAAATCTGGTTAGTAAAATATATTTATATGTTATTCTTGATTAAGCATCTTTGATCTCCATTATTGTCCGTTTGAGATGTTTTCATTCCCTCAAATCCTTGTTTCTTCTCTGTTTGGTGATTCATTCCTTTCTTATGATTCAATATCATTTCATTTACAACCTCTTCCAGGCTCTTGACGACTTCATGAGTGCAGGATATGTAACGTAAAATAGACATGTACCTGGTTTTCAGATTTTTCATTAAATCCATTTTTGGGATCTTGGATTTCACTTATTCTAGTTTATTTGTTATTGAAGGCTTGTGTTGGGAAATGAATTTTTATAAAAGTGCCAAATGTATTATGCAAGGAGACATTGATTTTTCTAATTTTAATTGAAAAGGGATCTATTTCCGGCATTCATATCCGTAGTTAGCACATTCATCTTTAGTAGCAATTCCAACTCCGTAAGGTAAAGATGAATATCGTTAATAAAAAAATTGTAGGTTTCTTGTTAGAAATATTGTAATGAAAGGAAGATACGAGTTTGTCTCTAGGTATATGAAAAAATACAATCTTTCAGTTCCTATAGAACCTACTACAAAAATTCTCCTAGAGTGGGGTAAGGATAAGTGGAGAAAAAACTGTTTTTCCACAAAATAATATCTAGTGAATTGAACAATTTACTTTGTGTCGATCTTTGAGATGTACAAACTGATTTGTTTATATAAAATGCAGATAGCAGCAGGAGAAGGTATATAACCGAAGAAATAGAAAAATTCGGAAAGGGGAATATTTCTTCTCAAATATTTACGTTTCATGAGTTGAGTGTTGCCACTCAGAACTTCAACCCTGAGACTTTGATCGGTGAAGGCGGTTTTGGGAGGGTGTACAAAGGCCACATTGAAAGCAAAAAAACAGTAATTCGACTATGGTCCCTTACCATTTATTATAGTCATTCTCATTGCCTTCTAAAGTGACACATAGTTGTGTGCTATGAGAAGCTACATTTTTAACTTTTTTATTTCTCTCGTGTTGATGTCTGTCAGGATGTTGCAGTCAAGAAACTAGACAGAAATGGTTTCCAAGGGAATCGTGAATTCCTTGTGGAAGTTATGATTTTGAGTCTTCTTCACCACCCTAACCTTGTTAATTTAGTCGGATATTGTTCTGATGGTGACCAGAGAATATTGGTCTACGAGTACATGCCCAATGGTTCACTCGAGGATCATCTCCTAAGTACGTTTGACAGGTTCCCAATGCCATTTACAAATCGCATTTAAAAATGATGCTCGACTCAACAAAGTCTTATCTATTCGGATTTATACTTCCTTATGAAATTTGCCTTTTCTTTTACAGATATTCATTTTTCATGTGAAAATGCTGATTAGCCCAACTTTGCTTTCTAGATATAGGCCCGGACAAAAAACCTCTTGATTGGAACACGAGGATAAAAGTTGCAGCAGGAGCCGCAAAAGGACTTGAATATTTGCATGAGACAGCTTATCCTCCTGTGATTTACAGAGATTTTAAAGCATCCAATATACTTTTAGATGAGAGCTTCAACCCAAGGCTTTCTGATTTTGGCCTTGCCAAGCTAGGTCCTACTGGTGACAAAACACACGTTTCTACCAGGGTGATGGGAACCTATGGTTATTGTGCACCCGAGTACGCGTCCACAGGTCAGTTGACTACGAAGTCAGACGTGTACAGCTTTGGGGTCGTGTTTTTGGAGTTAATCACTGGTCGGAGAGTCATTGATAATTCAAGACCAAGTGAGGAGCAAAACTTAATTACTTGGGTACGTTAACGAACTTCAAGACCAGGACCAAACAATGCATTAAGCAAGATAACTATTTGAAATTATCAGTGTTAAAAATTTAATTTCTAATAGAAGTTACACCACAGAAGGTCTAATTCTAACATGTTGATGAGATTGGGGGGAAGGGGTTGAGTCTTATGCCATATCCAAACTGCATCAAAATGGTGATCAATATGAAGAAATTTAAGCCTTATTGCCACTCCACTACGTTTCATCCAGCATTAGTTTGGTCGATTCATTCAATGCAATTAGTTTTTTTTGGGTTTATCTCCATGTTCTTGACCGGCCTTGTTTTTTACTAATATTTTTAACCATATAAAAATATTACCCTTTTGATTCCTTCCAGTTTCATTATACCAGATCCTGTTAGTGCGGTGAAAACTGCGGTTAATTTTATGAAAATGGCAGGCACAACCTTTGTTCAAAGACAAGAAAAAGTTCCATTTGATGGCGGATCCATTGCTTGAGGGAAATTACCCAGAAAAGGCTCTCTGTCAAGCTCTTGCAGTTGCAGCTATGTGTCTCCAAGAGGAAGCTTCTACACGCCCTTTGATCAGCGACGTTGTAACTGCTCTAGAGTATCTATCTGTAGGCAAGAGCCAAGCTGAAAATGAAGAAGAAGCACGAGAATCATCTGCAGAAAAATGTAGTACAGAAAATACTGAAAATAATTCACCAGATGATAACTCGAGAGAGAGTAAAATAGTGTAAAAATCAATATAACATTATTCTGTACCATTGTGTTGCATATTCTGTTGCATACCAATTTCAGTTTTCCCTCTCACAAACAGGTTCTCCTCTCTGGGATTAGTTCTTGATTCCTTCTTAAAATCCAATTCCCTAGATCTTAGGGCATTTGTCACAATCGTTTGTGTTAAGGCATCTCTCGAATATTTTATAGCATTTCGGATTCCTTTATAAGATTCAGGTAGTGAATTTAAAAGAATTACAGCCAGGTCTTCGTCCTCAAATTTCTTGTCGTTATGTGAAAGACTCTTAACCATAATGCTAAAATCACTAAGATTAGATTCTAAGTCTTTTCCAGGATCCATTTTGAAGCTAAACAGTTTCTCCAACAGGTAGATCTTATTAGGTAGTGTTTTAGTAAAGAACAAAACATCTAGTGTTTCCCACAGGGCTCGAGTAGTTTTATGTTCTTCAACTTGTCTCAATATATTATCAGACAGATGCAGTATGATTGAACTATATGCTATTTCATTCATATCTTCAATTTCAGCAGGCTTAGCTTTCAGTTCATCAGAAAACTTTTTAGGATCGTCAAGGGCTTTTGCAACCCTCTGCTGGACCAGAATGGCCCTCATTTTCGGTTTCCATATGGAGTAGTCACCCTTTCCATCGAATTGACTCAATTCGACCTTCGAACCCATTACGAGTTCTGTAAAAGGGTTATTACTCGAGGACATAAGTGATTCAATTCAAGAAATCACTTAAGTTACAGAAAAAGTTTTTAAAATTTTTTTATGCAGAAAATTGACAAGTAAGCAAACCCACAAACAGTTATCTAACATGCACTGACTGAAACCCAGTAGCACAATAGGTCCAATTTCAGATTTTCAGAACAGTTGGTACCAATCAAATAGATTACTGAAAAATGAAATGTCCTAAAGAAACGTGCTTCTATCACAATTAAAGTCTTTATTCAATTTCTTTGAATAAACCAATCACAATAGCAGTTTAGATATAACATTTATATCAACTAACAACTAATATGATTTAATTGTATAAGATCTCACCAAATCTGTGCTACAGTATTTTACAACAAATCGGTACTGCTTTCTGCAGGTGCGAAACCGAAGACCTAGCTTCCGATGATTGATTGATTTCACTTTCTTGTTTCTGTACAAGGGAAGAAAACGCGTTAATACGACAAGAGATCAAACTATATTCAAATATGCCTTACCCTACTGCTTCGCTGGCTCTGATACCAGATTTGTTGAGTATTATGCCTTAAACCGACAGCAATATTTAACGACACAAACGTAAAGTACAAGAAAAATAAGAACACGCAGAAATTTTCACCCAGTTCGGCCCGAATGGCTTAATCTAGGGGGCTCAGAGTCAGCCCAATCCACTAGTGCAATTCTACCTCCCAGAGAGAGTACAGTACAAATAGAACCAAATAGAAATAGCCATATCAATCATCGATCCAAAGAGGATCTCAAATCTGGACGCCTACTCTTCTTCCTTCTAAAAATCGGCCACAAAAACATATGCTACAGATGACTCAAACAAATGGCACCCAAGATACTGTAGCACAACAGATTCACCAAAACTATCAAAGAAAAATTAATCTCCAGTTTATACGACCCAAAGAAGAAAGGGAGAAAAAATTTCTCCCAAAAACGAAGAGAGAGAGAGGAGAAAAATCAAAGGTCAAGTCTGAAAAATCACACCAAGCCGTATCCCTCAAAGAGACTAAGGGGCAAGTTGTATTTCATCTCTACCGTTCGTTCAATCGAACGGTCCACGTATGGCCAAAAGAAACACAGATCTAAGTTATATGGTATGGGCAAATCAGGGGCTGCCACGTAACGTCACCAACTTAAGGTGCGGTAAATGTCCAGATTACCCTTCCTTAAGTAGCAATTTTGGAGAAACACGTTTTCTCTTTCGAACATTTTACGTTTTCTTGCCATGTCATCTTTCAAAACATGTGTATAACATAAGATTTTCTCAAAGAAACAATATGAATGTGGAAGCATCTAATTTTGTGTCTTATAACAAAATATTCATCTGAAAGCGACCAATATTGGGTTTTTACTCATATAAGATTCAATTCCATGAAAAAGTAGTCGTTTGTAAACATGGCAACATTGCTCGACGAGAATGCATTATTACAGTAAAGGAACAATCAAGCATAGGAAATGTATCAATTATGTTAGGAAATAAAAGAATCAGAATAATATGACAGTATGAAAATCAAACAAGTAAACAAGATTTACGTCGTAAAAATATACCACGGACAGAAGAGAAGAATTTATTAATATTAATAATGGAGGAATATAAATTATACTGTAGAATATAAGGATTGATTTTTCTGGAGGTTTACTCCTCATATGTATAATGCAAAGAAGAGATTAAAATGTGGTGGATAATAAGTATACAATAGTGAAATATTTGGAATAAAATAGGATTTAAAAAATTGCCAACTTTGAGAACTGTTCCAAATCCGGATAAGACCGAGGCTCGAGGAGTGGTCTCACTACTATCGGGCGGTGGCCAATCGCTTGAGTGCTGCCTCACGGACATTGAGCACTGGAGCTCCTATTTTGAGCTTTCTAGTGAGACCAAGGTGCATAGCGAGCACCAGTTTGGCGTTTCCTTCTCCTTGCACGATTTCTTCCTCTTCTATTACAACTTGGACTGCTTCAATTCTTCTTCAAGTCCAAAACAAATTTCAAACTCTCAATTGAACTCCTGAATTGAATTCCCAAATAGACTTCAAGTAAAATTCCCAAATAGTCTTCCCAATGGAATTCGGGTCACATCCTAATTCTAACATATTATGATATAAAAAATGTTGTAAAAGATGTGCAAGGGAAGTGCAACGGTTGTGCGTCTGCACACGTGAAAGAAGAGCGATATCATGTGTGTGTGTGGTGGATTTTTTTGATTCATAAGCTATCATGTACAGGAAAATTGATTGTTGTCTTCCATACATGTTTAATTTATAGAAGTATATTAAAATATATAAAAGAAAGCAAGCTTGTCTTCTCAATGGTAAAATTCCTGGTATGTGAAAGTGAAATTAAGCATGAAGCATTTTTTCCTTATTGTCTGTCACGGTTTGTTTTTCCCCATGACGGAAACACTATAAGAAAATCAGTTCTCCTCATTGCAGTTCATTAAAGTAGAGGCATGAAAATCACACCTGCACCAATAGTTCTTGCTGACTTACAAAATTTGAGTTCACTGAAAAGGGGTATGTTGCTCTAAAAATATTAGGAATTAGAGAAACACAAAAAGAAGTTCTAGAAGCTAGGTTGTAGCCCAGTCAATTGGTTATGGCTTCTAGAGAGACTCCTAATATTGCATCTGAAGCCATTGACCATGTTTGGAAAGCCAACATTTGCCAATGGTGCAAAAGAAGATTTTATTTGGTGCCCTTACATGAGGGCTGCAAATATGCCTGCCTTCCCTTAAGTGGTTTACGAAGAAGAAGATTTTTGGGTTTTGACCGAATCTGGTTGGGATTACAAATGTGAGGATCTTGTTAAGCGTTTGAGAACGAGTGAGCTTGTTAACCTAGGAGTTGATTGCATAGAGCATTATTTCCCAGTGTGTGGTTAAACAATTTGGACACTGTTTATTATAAGAATAAATTCGTTTTAACAAAAAAAATAACTTTTTATTGATGATAAAATGAATGAAAATTTGTTCAGTGGATGATAAAGTTAGGAAACAAAAGCACAACGATCCAATCCTGAGAGATCTATGTTCACTACTTTGCATTAACCAGCACATTTAGTTTTATTCCAATCCTGAGAGATCTCTGTTCACTGCTTTGCATTTGCCAGCACATGAAATTTTAACATTTTGTGCATTTTTTATGCCGAGATAAAGAGATATAAATGCAGCAGAAATCCACAAAACCCTCGTTTGTCTCTTGATAAGTGCATTTGTGCACTTTTCTAGCCAAATTACTAAGCTTTTATTTCGTTAATGTGTTAATTTTACTAAACTTCGGGGTAATTTTCTCTTGTTTCAGTTTTGGACCCATTCATAAGCAATCAGAAAAGAAAGAAGGATGAATTGATGATTGGATGGAAGGTTTGAGGACTAATGTGCACGTGAGAAGAAGTTGAAGGACCAAAACAGAAGTAGTTTAAAATGGAGGATCAAGATCAAGGAAAGATTGAAGAAGAAGACCAAAATGCAAAAATTGAGAAGTTGTTATAACTGGGTACTTGCCCGGTAATATGAATCGGGCAAGTCCGAACCTAGAAAAAAGATACAGAATCTCAAGTGCATAACTAGGTAACTGCTCGCACTTGCCTAGGTCATTTGGAGCCATATTTTATTTTCGTTCAGAATTTCAATCAAATAAGGAAACTTCCTTTTGGGCCATTAATTGTACGATTTTTAGAGTCTTTTGGAACTCCTTGAAGATTAGTATAAATACCAACTATCATTACATAATTAGGGTTGAAGAATTGATTGCAAAAGGAGGTAAAAAACACAAGAATCGAATATAAGAAATTCAAAGATCAAATTCAAGAATTTCGAGTGATGAACTATTTTACTTCATTTGTTTTCTTCTTTACAACATGTTAGGCTAAAGTAATCTAGCACTAGGGTTACTGATAAGTGTGTTTTTCAGACACTTTAATGAGTTATTTATTGATGAAATTGAATGAATTCCTATTCATAATTGTGTAATTATGGTGTTTGTAGGCCAAAATCCCAAATTGGAGGAAAAAATGGCTAAAAGGAGGAAAAGACAACCAAAAGTGCACAAAAACATGAAATCGAGGACCAAAGTGTACAAGTGCCAAAAGTTTAAGGACCAAATGTTGCAAATTTTGGAGGGTGTGATTGAAAGAAAATTCAAAATTTGAGGACTAAAATGTACAAGTTCAAAGTTGAAGGATCTAGTGTGCAAATATAGGGACCTGAGCTGCAAATACTGAAAAATGGGATGTGGTTCTATAGTAGCGCTGCAGCGCCACTATAGCAAAGCCGTGACTAAGGACCTGTTTGTCTATATTTTTGTAGTTAGGGATCATTTTGCAATTACAAAACATG